AAGGGAGTCCTGAGTGTCCTGCTGAGTAGCGTGTGACTGGAGGGAAGTTGTTTCCTTCGCAGAGGCACCTTTTTCCGCCGCCTCTTTCACCAAGCCCAAGCTTGAGCCTCCTGAAATGGCAGTTTAAATTCTCCCTGGGCCAGAGGATGCCAGAATGGATTATAGATGCAAGTTTATGGAAGATTCTGGGGCCTCTGTGTCCCAGAGATCACCCTCAAGGTGCTCCTGCAGCAAGGTCTTTTCCTTCTGCAATCCTGAGATCCTGCTGGATTGACAGTGTAAATGACTGGGAGCAGCGGGTACGCAGAGGTGTGCAGCAGCCCAGGGAATCTTTCCGGAGCTCCGCAATTGGCAGATGAGATTAACATTCTAACAGCAGGAAAAGTCAGGGCCACTGACAATTGGAAATATTGGCATGGGGCACAGAGGCCCCCTGGATTAGGAGCAGATGGTTACAGGCTGACCTCCTCAGTTGTTCATCTTGATAATTAAAGTAAATCTTGCACCTGTGATACAAACCGCCGTGGGCAGAGCGCATCCGCTGCACTGCACACAAAGGCTTACTACCAAGGGCAGCCAGCTTAGCTGCACTTAGTTTGGAGGAAGGCCTGAAGACAACTTTTAGCTATTAACTCCTTGTCATCTGAAATGCTTTAATTTTTTTTTTTTAATTTCTTTTTATTGGAAAGGCAAATTTTTACTGAGAGAAGGTGACAGAAGTTCTTCCATCCACTGGTTCACTCCCCAGTTGGGTGCAATGGCTGGAGGTGAGCCGGCCCGAAGCTAGGAGCTTCTTCAGCTCTCCCATGTGGGTTCAGGCTCCCAAGGCATGTTGCCAGCCTCGGCTGCTTTCCCAGGCCATCAGCCGGCTGCTGGAAGGGAAGTGGAGCAGCTTGAACTAGAACCAGAACCGTATGGGAAACTGGCACCACAGACAGGATTACCAAACTATACTACTATGCTGACCCCCTAAAAGTTAATTAAAAAAATATATATATATCTTGCTGCTGGGATTAAAACCGGCACCCATATTGGATCCTGGGTGTGTAAGGTGAGGATTTTAGCCACTAGGCTACTGCACCCGGACCAAAAGTTAATTTTAAAATCTGCTCTCAAAACTTTTGTACTTAAGAATTCTCTTTCATAACTGAATAGAAGGGTACAACTAAAGTCAGTTTGGTAAAATAAGCTTCAAAGGCATGATTCAGTGGAAACAGCATTCAATTTAGTACCTTAAGAACTCATTCTTTGGGTAGGTGTTATGTTGCCACTTGGGGCACCCACACCTCAACAGGGTCTCTGGTTCGAATCCCAGCTCCGCAGAGTACCTGGATCCCAGCCAATGACATGGGCCTGTACAGTTTTCAACACTCGTGGTTTCAGCCTTGCCCACAGTTCAAATAAAATGAATAAGATCTTTAAAAAGAAACCTCTCTTATCTTTGTTGCTAATTAGGCAGGTATTTTCTTTCTCTGTTGTACAAAATGGGGAAGACTGTGCCAGAACGCTAGGTTCCATCAAACTTACAACCAAATCCCGAATTTAGAAAGTGTTAGCAGGGCTGGTGCGGTGGCTCAACAGATCAATCATCCACCCTCAAGTGCCACCATCCCATATGGGCGCTGGTTTGTATCCTAGCTGTTCCTCTTGCAATACTGCTCTCTGCTTATGGCCTGGGAAAGCAGCAGAGGATGGTCCCAGCCTTGGGACCCTGCACTCCAGAGTGACACCAAGAAGCAGCTCCTGGAATCTGATTAGCTCCACTCTGGCTGTTGCAGCCATTTAGGGAATGAAGCAGTGGGTGGAGGGCCTTTCCCCCAGTCTCACCTTCTGTCAACCTGCCTTTTCAATAAAAAATAAATCTTTTTTCATGTATTTTTAAAAAATTGATTAGATTGCATTATGTGACACAGTTTTATAGGCACTGGGATTCCCCCAACCCCTCCCACACCCCTTCCCCCATGGTGGATTCCTCCTCCTTGTTGCATTACCAAGGTTCAGATTCAGTTAAGATTCTTTCACTGCAAGCATATACCAAGCATAAAGTCCAGCATCTTATTGTCCAGATAAGTTCAACGGTTTCTTGGGGAGACCATCTCTGGTCTGAAGATAGAGCCGGCAGAGTATCATCCCGATCAATTAAAAGCCCCGACATTACATCAGTAACAATTTATAATGCTATGGAATTAGTTGACATAGTACTGAGTAACCGATATGTTAAAAGAAAAAAAAAATCCAAGTTCTGAACCACATCCTGTGACTTCCACATTGACACTTCACTGGTTAGTTCATATACGATCGGGTTCTATACACCTTGAAATGGCTATAGATTACTATTCAGCTGTCTCATTTCTATTTTAATTTTAGTATTTAGCAGTTTATAGTGTTGAAGCATAATTTTGCTGAACCTGGCTGTTTTTCGGGTAGTCTAACTCTATAACTCTTAACAAGACATATGTCAACAGTTTAGGTGAACAGTTTTAGGAGGGGTGTACAGAGAAATCCTCAATACCTTAGTGAGGAGTAACTAATCTTTTTATCTTAGTGAGGAGTAACCCACCCAGTGAGTTATAAATGTTGGGGGCACTGACAATTTCCTGCCTTGTGATTGGCCTTTTGCCCTGATTGGTCTGCCTTGGTCATCTTTAAGCTGATTGGACAGGTTTGACAGATAAGCGGGGGGGGGTTAGCGTAACGGAAACAACGGACATAACAATTTTTTTAATGGGAGATCGGAATAAAGTGCCTCTGAGACTCTCAAGTGTAGGGTGATTTCTTCTGCAGGACGGGAGGACCCTCGATAATAAGTGCATCCCCGCTGACGGTTTCCTGTCTGATTCCAAGCCTTCCTTGTTGTTCTCTATCTGTTCTAGATTCAATAAAAAATAAATCTTAATTAGCAGGGATAGTTAATAAAATCAACTTCCAATAAACCTTTGTTTTAAATACCTGGATGGAAGGAGCTATATTAATGAAAAGTTTAACTTTTAAACCACGAGTGGAGCTGCTGCCTCTTGGGATGTCAGCATCTCACTTGAGTACCAGTGAGAGTACTCTAACTTCCAATCCAATCCTCCCCAGCCCACACCCCGATTCATCCTGGAAAGCAGTAGCCACTCAGCTGATTTGGTCTCAGTCGTCCCTGTGTGAGACCTGGCTGGAGTTTCGGGCTCATGCTTCGGCCCGGCCAGTCCTTACAGTGGGAAGGCAGGTGTCTGGGGAGCAAGCCAATGGATGGAAGATGTCGCCTTTCCTATCAGGTAAAAGAAATAAAAAAAGAAGAAGAAGAAAAACACCTCTTAATGTTAAGAGTGCCTCCACAGTTTATTCTGATGGCACTGTCTTGCTAGGCAGGCAAGCAGAAGCTGGCTTCAAGCTCTAGGTGAGGTCAAGGCAGTGAAGGAGTGTCCACCTGCGTACAGGGTTTTCTGCATCTCAGCTACAGAAAAGTCGTGCTCATTTAGAACATGATCACCTTCAAAGCATGCTGGATTCATTTTACTATTAGTAAGGACTGGCTACATTTTGAATTTCTGAGTACTGGTCATTTTGCCATATAACATAAGGCTAAGTAGTTGGGAAGGTACATGCCATATCTTGAACAGATTTTGGTAGAAAGTCATGTACCCAGAAAACTCAGTGGAGTAGGTCCTACTTGGGCAGCGACTACTTTAACAGGACACAGCCCAACAGGCAATGGTTGGGGGAGATGTACTTCCCTAAGTGAAAAATGTTTCAGCAATAAGTTAAATGACTCCTCCAAAGGTCATCAATGACATGCCCCATTCGAAGCACAAATGCCCCTTTCAGAGGCCCCAGACTGTGAGGAAGGAGCAGCAGGAGAAAATGCCACTGGGCTCTGAACAGTCATTTTTTCTTATTTAGTATCTGGAATTAAGATAATTTAACTGTATAGACTATTTTGGAGGATTTAGGAAAACTTGCATTTTAATTTCTTTAGCTTCAAAAAGTAGCTGTAAGGAGAAACACTCCATTTTCAAAAACAGGCAAGCACACCCTCTATCCCCAGATTAATTAGCTTTCACTCTGGGATGTTACTGATTTTATAAAATGCCTATCATTGTGTTTTATCCTTCAAAGGCTGGAGAGTATCAAAAAATGGGTGTTAGTGGCCCTTGAGGGTCCAGAAACTTGAACATGTCTACCATTACATGGTTGTTAAATATTTTACTGTGAAGTCTGAGCAACATCAATTTAGGATCTGTTGATCACCACATATGAGAAAACCACCAGAATTTTACTGTTGGTCTCTAGGTAGTTTATACAGAGGGCTGCTCAGTGAGCTCACTGACAAAAGTACACACTTAACACGTGTGCACCTCTCAAGCCAGGACCTTTCCAGACCAGCTCATCCCCCTTTTCCTTTTTTTGAAACTTACCCATTTTTATTGGAAAGGCAGATTTTTATGAAGAGAAGGAGACAGAAACATCTTCCATCCACTGGTTCACTCTCCAAATGGATGCAACAGCAGAGCTGAGAACCAATCCAGAGCCAGGAGCCAGGAGCTTCTTCCAGGTCACCCATGCGGGTGCAGGGTCCCAAGGCTTTGGGCTGTCCTTGGCTGCTTTCCCAGGCCACAAACAGGAAGCTGGATGGGAAGCAGGGTATCCAGGGAACATGAACTAGCACCCATACGGGATCCTCGCACTTGAAGGGGGAGGATTAGCCAATCGAGCCATTGCACTGGACCCACATTTCTTGTATTGTAATAAATTTCATACTTGTGCATCCTTTCAAACTGCCAACTAAATAACTGAATAAATGGTGGATAGCTGCCAACTAAATAATTAAATATGCAGTGGATACTAACAATGGTTCTGAAAAGCTTTTGCTACATTCACTTTATTTGAAACAGAACAAGACAAAAAACCCCACAAAAACCTAAACATCTAAAAAAATAACAATATGGAGCTCAACCAGCTGCCAACACTATGCATTATTTGATATATTGTACATTACAAATTACAGTAGCAAAACCTTTAGCTTTGAAAAATTTTTATTCAATCACGTAATTTCAAATATCTTCCAAAATACAGTATCCTAGATTGCTACAAAAGAAAGCAAATTCAATAAGAAATTTAAATCATTAAATATGTTTCACTAGTATATACATATAGAATGCCAAGCAATAACATGTAGCCCTGGAATGCGTACCACGTCCTTTTCCTCCTTAAAGGATCAACCCAGTCTTCTGAGCGACGTACAATAGGTAAAGTTCTGTGTACATACAAGTTTGATGTTGGCTGCCTCAACTTAGAGCTGTGGCAGTTTGTCCACTGGGGTGTCAAATTTGAAATCTGTAGGAAATAAATCTGGGGCTCGAGGATAAATTAATCTGTAGGACTGTCTGATTGTAACATCAGCAACGCCAGCGATATCTCCAATTTCTAAAAGACAAAAATCAAATTATTAAGTATATTAAGTATATTTCCATTTTATTTCTTTTTCTACTATCGAAGTTAAAAACAAACCAAAATACTGATTTTTAAAGGCTGGTTAAATATTTTTATTCTTAGAGAGCAGGAGCAAAAGTGAAGAGCAGTGACGGGCTGCTTCTGACCCTTCAAGGATTGTCACGGGGTAGGCACTGTGGAGCACTGGGTTAAGCCTCTGCCTGTGGTGCTGGCATCGCACGTGGGTGCTGCTTCAATTCCAGGTTGCTCTACTTCTGACACAACTCTCTGCTCTCTGCTTAACTGTCCAGGAAACCAGCAAACATGGCTAAGCATTTAGGTCCTTGCATCCACGTGCGAGACCTGGAAGAAGCCCAGCCTCCTGGCTTCAGCTGCGGCCACTTGAGGAGTGAAACTGTGGATGATCTATCTGTCTGTCTGTACTCAGTCTTCGTAAATCTGACTTTCAAATACAAATAAACTAGGGTCCAGACTGGTAACCTACGTAGGGAGCAAGGCAGCTAAAGTCCTCACCTTGCACACACCAGGATCCCATATGGGCACCAGTTTGTGTCCTGGCGGCCCTGCTTCCCATCCAATTCCCTGCTTGTGGCCTGGGAAAGCAGTGGAGGACGGCCCAAAGCCTTGGGACCCTGAACTTGCATGGGAAACCAGGAAGAGGCTCCTGGCTCCTGGCTTCAGATCGGCTTAGCTACGCCCATTACTACTTCTTGGGGAGTGAATCAGAGGGAAGATCTTCTTCTCTGTCTCTCCTCCTCTCTGACTTTGCAATAACAATAAATCTTTAAAAATAAATAAAAATAAAAATACATCTTTAAAAAAAGGAAACCAAAATTGGTTTTTAAAATTTTTATTAGGTTTAGAGAGAAGAGACAGAAAAAGAAATTCCAAATGCTACTCCTCAAGTAGCTGCAACCACTGGAGCCGAACAGGTCTGAAGGCAGGAACCAGGAGCTTCCATGTGGGTACAGGGCCCCAAGTACTTGGGGCATCCCCTACTGCTTTCCCATACCACAAGCAGGGAGCTGGGTGGGACGTGGCACAGTTGGGATATGAACCAATGCCCATATGGGAAGCTAGTGCTTGAAAGTGGAGGATTAGCTGCTTGAGCCAAGGAGCCGGGCCCAAAGAAGTTATTATTTATTCCTCATTTAAAACTGACTTCTCTTTTTTCAGATTATAGAAGTTTATTAATAACTCAATGTTTTTGTTTGAAAGATTCCCTTAAATATTAAATTTGAAAGTGGCTTCAGAAGGCTGAACTACTTCTATCTACTTATTTTAGAATTTGCATTAAGAAAATGGAACTGCATGGAAAGAAAAACAGACAAGGTTTTACAGAATGTTACATTTATATCTGCAGGGTACCACACCAACTAGTGAGCAATAAAGCAGGCATTCTTGATGGTCATGATTTGAAAAGTTAAGTTTTGGGGGTGAGGGGAGAGGAAGATTCAAAATGACCAGAAATGCTTAGGTACAAAAATTAAGAATATGTTTTTATTCAGGGCTATGACATCTGTATATATGAGCCACTTAAAAAACCAAATATTTTCCTAAGTAAGAGTTTTAGGGTGGGCTCTTGGCACAGTGGCTAAGCTGCTGCTTGGGACGTGCGTATCCCACATTTCTGAACCTGGATTAGATCTGCTGCTCTTCCGAATCTAGCTTCCTCTTACTGGGACCCACATGAGGCAGCAGATGACAGCCCAAGTACTTACTCCCCGCTACCCACACATGAGAGCAGCGTGGAATTTGCAGCCAAGTCCAGACGCAAATGTTGTGGACACTTGGTTCAGACCCATCTCTATCTTTGCCTCTCTGCCTTTCAAATGTGCCCCACAAAATGAGAGCTCTGGACACTGACCTGCTTTACACATTAAACACAAAACCAACCCACGCTCATGGCTTCATTACCACTCTTCTTGATAAACATCTTACCTTTTTGGGTCCTCTTCTCAGCTGATGCCTGTGAGGCCATGTAAATGGCTGCCGCTGCCACAGATATTGGGCTCCTCCCGGGAACCAAGTCCAGCTCCACAGCTTTACGAGCTATATGCGTAGCTGCCATCTGCACTTGTTTAGGAAGGCAGAGGTTGGAACAGAATCTGGACATGAAGTCCCCAGTTGTTATCAAATCCACACTGGTTTCTAAAGCCTTCAAAATAAGTTTAAAACATCGACCAATCTCTTTCTTAGAAATTCGTGATACGGCACATATTTCTGGAAGAAAAAACGCAAGGAAGTTAAATCAAGAGAACTGGTTTTTCTAATTATGAAGATAAAGTATTGTAGCTATATAAAGTCAATAATACCATAATAAAACCCTAGTCCATGTTATAATAATTTCCATGGAGCTATTTTAAAACCCTACTGTTAATTTACATGACCATCACACTTAAAAGGTAAATTTAGGTTTTAAAACTTATCACATTTTACCTTCTTTGCATTTCTAAATGATCATTGTCTGGCATATGATTCCGTTGGAACAAATACCAAGGAGATAAAAGAAGACACTCCAGCCACAGAGAATGCCTCTACAGCTGCACAATGTCCAGCAATGTGCTCCTTGTCATTACACGCTAGAGCAAAATGACATTACAGTGTTTAACCCAACGTTTTCACGATCAACCTAGCAAAAGTCTGTTTTAGTTATAAAAAGATGATGACAACTGCCATTACCTCTTCATACTGGACTAAAACAAAAAAACATGTAAAAAGACAAATATTCTCCAGATGAAAGGGGTAAAGCATGGTTATTCAGCTAAACTGAACTTTGGCAGCGAAAGTTACATGGTGGCGCAAGTGGTTACGGTCCTCGCCTTGCACGCCCGGGATCCCATATGGGCGCCAGTTCTATCCCGGCAGCCCCGCTTCCCATCCAGCTCCCTGCCTGTGGCCTGGGAAAGCAGCAGAAGACTGCCCAAAGCCTTTGGGACCTTGCATCCGCGTGGGAGACCCGGAAGAGGCTCCTGGCTTCGGATTGGCATAGCATCGGCCATTGAGCTCACTTGGGGAGTGAATCATTGGACGGAAGATCTTCCTCTCTGTATATCCGCCTTTCCAATAAAAAAATAATAAAAATAAAATCTTTAAAAAAAAGTACCAATGCAACACTGTATACTCATAACACGGATAACTGCAACATGAGTGGAAATAACCAATTCTGTCAAAGCTTCAAGTGTGAAAATGGTAAATCCTCTAAGTACGTCGAGAAGAGAAACTTCACTGATGTGAAGCTGTGTTTTTTTTTTTAATTTATTACATTGTATTATGTGACACAGTTGTAGGTACTGGGATTCCCCCTCCCCCTCCCCCTGATGTGAAGTTAAGAAAGGAGCTCATAAACCCTGTGCTGAGTGGAGCTCCTTTCTTAAATCTGATATACAGACTTACAACAACAAAAGCTGTACTTGGGCTTAAAAGCCCACAAAACATGGTTAGTCAAAACATGTAGCAGGGGTGAGTATGTGGCACAGAAGCAGCGTGAAGCCACCATTTGAGAAACACCACCACCTATCGGAGTGCATGGACTGGGATACTTTTATCCTAGCTTGCTAACTAGTATGCCTGAGAGGCAGCACACAAAAGACCTCACTTTAAAAAAAAAAAAACTTTACGAGCATGGCTGGTTACCCACACAGGCACTGGTTTGCACTGTTGCTACTCCTCTTCCAATCCAGCACAGGATGGCTCAAGTCCTTAGTTCCCTGCACCTGTGTGGGGAGATCCAGAAGCTCCTGGCTTTGAAACATCTCAGTTCAAGCTGTGGAGACTTGGGGAGTGACTCAGTGGACAGAGGATTTTCTTCTCTGTCTCTCCTTCTCTTTAACTCTTTCAAGTTAAAATAAATCATAGATACACACACACACACAGAGTTACAGCAAAGAATACTGTGAGCTAAGATGGATTAAATGAAACAGCTCTATGAGTACGTGAAGAACAGCCAGAAAAGAACATATTCAATAACATCACTGTTCAGTAAGGTCAACACATGAATTCATTCAAGACCAAAGCAGGCACAGACAAATGATATCCAGGCAGATTACTATTTTAAACAATTAAGATACAACCTGGTTTCTAAGTCAAAGTTGCTGGATACTGGTCTGGCACTTTATGAAGCTCCAACCTTACCTTTAAATGTCCTAGGAACCCCTTCTTGTCTACAGGCAATGTAGAGACAAGCTGAGGCTATGGCATCATTAGCTCTTCCCTTCAGGCTCTTCTGTTCATACACTTGCTTGAATAAATTATTTGTTCGATCCTTCAAAGTAGAAAAACTAAGTTAAATTAACCCTAGGTCATTTAGTAAGTTGTAATATCAAAATCTCACATGTTCATTAAATTATGCTAAGTCAGTGCCAGAATGGAGTAAAGGAGGTAGACAAGAACTTACAACTATATTTCGAGGGAGGTTGATTCGGTCGGCCATGGTCGTGATTTCCTTGAATGCATTCATCATTGCCCGATCAGAACTGCTCATTGCTCTCCGATTCTGGTACTTAGAATTGCCAAACTCATCAAAACTAGCAGCTCCAGTACCCTATAAAATAAAGCTTTATAATTTTACCAAAGCTTTACATGTACAATTTCTAGCAAAACATATCTGACTTCACATGTCCAAGAAATGCACTGCTCAGTATGTTTCTAAGCTCTTTAAAAGTATAGAAAAGATTAAAGTTCAATTTTATTTATAAATGACACAAAATACTAAGTGTTACACAACAATTTTACTGCATATTAAAAGATAGCTTCTCATTACCAAGTAAAGACTACTCCACTCACATAAGATATACATTAAAAAAAAAAAATCTAAGTATAAAGCATCATATGAATAGGTCTAACAAGAAAAAAAGCCATATGACTGTTCCCAAAGTACTAAAAATAGTTAAGTGAACAAAGTTCAAAATTCAGTTTTGATAAAAACTTATTTAATACACAGAGATGAGTACTTTTTTTATTTGAAAATTGTGTGCTTGGCTCCTAGCAGCCATATGATTAATGGGAAAAAAAAATCAACACTACCACCAAAATGAAATGACAGATAAAAGTACTTCTATAATAACTGCTTTTTGATTACACTATGAGAAAAACTAGCTAAATATTACAAAACAAGAGAAAAATATAAAGTACAAAATAGGAAAGAAGGTGGCAAACTACTTATAGATTTGTAAACCTCAAATATTAAAAAAAAATCTCCAAAAACTTTTGCCATAAGAGACTTTATTAAAGCCTCACATATAATCAGAAAACAATAAAAGAAAATATATTATTACAGCCGTAGCAATAACAGATTATACAGGAATAATAATGTAAAAAATTTCAAAATATCGTTGATGGACTAATACGACTTAAGGAAATGAAAGTTGCAACATGTTTCTGAAGAAGACAACAGTAAGTAACCTAAGTCAACCTGCAAATAAATCTAACCAAAACCCCAGTAAATATATGCAATGGCAAAATACTTATTATTTTTTTTAAAGATCTATTTATTTTTATTGGAAAGGCCAATATACAGAGAGGAGAGACAGAAAGATCCTCCATCCGCTGGTCCACTCCCCAAGTGGTCACATGGCCAGAGCTGAGCTGATCTGAAGCCAGGAGCCAGGAGTTTCCTTAGGGTCTCCCACGCAAGGATAGAGTCCCAAGGCTTTGGGCCATCCTCTACTGTTCTCCCAGACCATAAACACAGAGCTGCATAGGAAGTAGGGCCGCCACAATTAGAACCAGTGCCCACATGGGATCCTGGTGTGGGCAAGGCAAGGACTTCAGCAACTAGGCTACTGTGCCAGGCCCGCTTATTCTTTTTTTAATGGCATTTTTAAACAGCAAAGACAAGTTAAGAAAATGCCAAAAGATAATTAAAGAGGGAAGGTTAATGTTACAGTGTGGGAAATGCTACTTTACTAACTTGGGCAGGAAAGAAAAGATCCCCAAGTATTCTCAAAGGATACAGAAACAGTATATGATTAAATGCAGCAGCTTTAAAGTTTTTCTTTTTTGCCATTTAAGTATAAATAGCAGTTATCTGTTTTGGTCAGGGAAAGGGGACTGCAGTGAGAACTGAGTTTAGGCAGTCAAATGTGAAAAACTTGATTATTTTTAAACTTTTGCTTTTGTGTCATATTTTCTGTTTAAAAAATTAGGCATTAAAAAGTCACAGTGTCAGAAAGTTAACATGTTGGCTCAAATGGCTAATCTTCCACCTCCAAGAGCTGGCATCCCAATATGGACACTGGTTCATGTCCTGGCTGCTCCACTTCCCATCTGGCTCCCTAACTTGTGGCTTGTTAAGTAGCAGAGGATGGCCCAAAGCCTTGGGATTCTGCACCCATGTGGAAGACCCGAGGGAAATCCTGGCTCCTGATTAGCTCAGCTCTGGTCATTGAGGCCATTTGGGGAGTGAATCAGCAGATGGAATCTCTTTCTCTCTGCCTCTCCTTCTCTTGTAAATCTGACTTTTCAATAAAAATAAATCTTAAAAAAGAGTGTCAGTTGGAATTTTACATTTTAAAATATATACATAAAAGTACATATTTCTTACCCAGCCTGTAAGGCTAGAGCAAACAAAGATACAATAAGTTAAAGACATTTCTGAAAAGCCCGGCACGTGGCGCAGTGGTTACGATATTTCTGAATGTACTACTGAAAACTTTTAGATCGAGTTATACCACTTTTTTTTTAATGTGATTTGTAAGTTATCAGTGCATAAAAGATTTGCTTTTTTTTCCCCCATGATACCTTCATCTTCTTAAACACAGACTACACAGTAGGAGGAATTGTTTTAAAATAAAATATATGCTCATCCTTGATTAGTCCTCTGGAATACTGCCACTATGACTTCCAATTCAGGTAACACAGCAACAAAGAGCCAAGCTGCCAGGAAAACAATGTTACTGCCTTACATAAGAATATCAGCTTCCATTTACTGAGCATTTTACACAATCGTGCTGTGACAACCCCCCAGAATCCTTCTACACCTCTATAATGTACTGTTCGCATTTTACAGATGAATGTAAAGCTTAGGGAAAGCAAGGTCACCATTAGAATATTAGGTGGCAGGGAGGTTAAAGAGAATATTTTGATAATATTATCCAAATATTTTGATATTAACTCATATAATAATAGTTGATGTTAACTCATAAATACATACTGAGAGATATGGTTTCTCCTATAATTAGATACTCACAAATCAGCCATCATTTACAATATTACTGACCTTATTTACAGCTCAGGATTTCCCACTCTGACAGTCACATTCTTGCAAAGATCCCAAACTCCTAAGTCACTGGTCACCCTACACCTGGTATTTCCTGCCAAAAACACTTATTACCTTGCCAATCATGGTAGACAAATCTCCATCACTCAGAAGAGGATTTTGAGAATCTCCAACTCGAGAAGGATCTTTTGTTGCTTTGTCATTGCTGAAAGTTCTCCATTCAGATCCCACATCAATAACCCGGTCACCTAAGAATACAAGCAGACATCTAAATGCTTCGTCAAAATCATTTGATGACATTGGCCCACGTCAGCCCTTTTACTCCAAAGAAATTTCAAAATCGACAACACGCCTCCTTTTCAAATTGGTGTCAATCCACTGTCCCTTTAACTATCATGCCAAGCCATGAGTAATCCCTTTGAAACAGTCTGTTATTAACTCTCAGAAGAAAACAGAACTGGTCAAATAAATAAGAATGCTATTTGAATGTTACAAATTCATGATTCATAGTATTCTGCACAAAACTTTGCAATAGACATGAAAATAGAACACATAACCTAAGAAATTCCCAAGTTTTTATGGGAAGCACTCTGCAGAAAGCAAGGGTAAACTTGCATCTGTTGGTTCAGTCCCCAGATGACCACAATATCCAGGGGCTGGGCTGGACTGAAGCCAATGGTTTCTTGCAGGTCTCCCACATGACTGGCAGTGGTCCAAATGCCTGGGCATCTTCTGCTTCTTCTCCCTGGCCACCAGCAGGGAGCTGAATATGAAGTGGAGCTGCGGGGATTCCAGTGTTGTAGGAGGTGGCTTTACCTGCTACACCAAATGCCAGCCCTGACCATGCCAACTCTTACCACACATCAAACAAAAGCTCACAAAGTTAATGCTCATATTCTAAATCCAGAAGCATATTAAAAAAAAAAAAAAAACAAATGCACAGAATAATTCATTCTGAAAGACTGGAAAAGTTCTTTTTGAGTCTGCTACACTGATTAGAGAAACCAGACAATGACCTGGACTATCGCATTCATGTCACAATGGAACTGACTTAAAGGTAGGGTCCCTTGCTATCGCTGCATCCAGTGAGAATAACCAGGGAAAGCAGGAGCCAAGAGATCAACTGAAAGGCAGTTCAAGCATGTCAGAACAATCTGTTGGCCCAAACAAGGAAGAGGCTAAAAGGGGTGGGATGTCAGCATTTCTGCTTCCTTATTATTATTATTATTATTTTTAAAAAAGCATCAATAAAACTCTGGGAAACAATTCTAATTAAATGTTACAATTCATACTTACGTCATTGTTCACTGAAGTGTCAGCATGCCTACGAATCAACAATTCTCAGAGGTCACAACCGATTGATTTTCATAAGCTCCTTTTACTATGTTTATATTATAAACACAAGAACAGATTTAAGCAAAATTAAGCCCTTTTATTAGTATCCAGCAATTAAAATGATACTATGGTATTCACTACATACGTGTTTTCAATGAGAAAAAAGTGACTAACTTTCCTATTTAACAATGTAAGAATACAAACAAACACAAAACAAAATTAGGATGACTTTCAAATCTGGAAAGTCATTATAAGTTTCTGAAAAAAAATTAGGGGTGAGCGTTTGGCCTTGCAGTTACAACTCTGCATCAGTGTGTCTGGGTTTCAACTTCCATTCAGTTGCTCCAGGCTCCAGCTGCCTGTTAGCGGCTTCCTGGGAGACAAGAGGTAACAGCTCAGGTACCTGGTCTGTGGCATCATGCCAGACACGGATCGAGTTCCCAGCTCTTTGCCTCAGCCCAGCCGAGTCCAAGTTATTGCAAGCATTTGGGAAGTACACTGGTGGCTCTCCCTCTGCCAACCCTCTTCAAAAAGCAGGCATTTCACCTGGCAGGAAGATTTCTAGTAAGACACTTGAATCCCATATTGGTGTACCTGGTTTTTAGTCCTAATTCTGCTTGTGAATCCAGCTTCCTGCTGTGAGTGCCTTGGTAGGTAGTAGGTGACGTGCAAGTAGCTGGGTTTCTGCCATCCATGTGGAAGACCTGAGCCACAGGACTGAGATCCTGGCTCCCAACTTCAGCCTGGCACGGCCCTGGCCACCAGAGTGAACCAGCAAATGGAAGCTCTCTGTATTGTCTCTCTCTCTGCCTCTGAATTTCTAAACTCATTTCACAAAATGAATGAACACGTGTGTACATACATATTCATCTAGAACTGTAAAAGGGAGATTGCCATACCAAGAAGTGAAGATACAATGCAGTATGCATCGCTACTACTAAATAAAAGGACTCCCAAATGAAACGGTTAAATATATCTTAAAAATAGGAAGCTAGACTCTCTTACCATGGTCTATACATCTACAATGTCAGGATACACTCACACAGAGAATGACAGACTTGGACTGCTGCTGATAGACTACCCTATCCTAATAATAGAGGAAAACAGCTGGCCCGGGGGGTAGAAGGGGAAGTCGTGAACCCACAACTTACACTTTCAATAGAAACAGATTTATTCCCTAATTATTTGAAGGGCAGAGTGTCAGAAAGGGGAGGGGGACAGCTAGAGACAGTGATCTAGCATCCAATGGTTCTCTGCCCAAATGCTGCAATGCCTGGGACTGGCCCTTTGGCAAACATTAGCAGTGAGCAGGATCTGACATGGAACAGCTGGAACCAGTGCTAGCAGCTCACAGGGGATGTGGCATTTCATGGAACTGCGTAACTAACTGCTCTAAAACACTGCCCCTCCCCCCACATGTAATTACAACAAACAAACACTTGAGAGGCAGAGTAATGGATAGAATAAAAGAGGGTGCAAGCCCATGGTTACATTAAGAGAATGAATAGGGCCCAGCAGCTAAAGTCCTCGCCTTGAACGTGCTGGGATCTCATATGGTCACCAGTTCTAATCCCAGCAGTCCCGCTTCCCACCCAGCTCCCTGCTTGTGGTCTGAGAAAGCAGTCGAGGACGGCCCAAAGTCTTGGGACCCTGCATCGGTGGGGGAGATCCAAAAGAGCTCCTGGCTCCTGGCTTCAGACCAGCACAACACTGGCCATTGTGGTAACCTTAGGGAGTAAATCATGGGACAGAAGATCTTCCTCTCTGTGTCTCCTCTCTTTTTATATCTGACTTTGCAATGAAAATAAGTAAATCTTTTTTTTTTAAAAAAAGAGAGAATGAATAAAAAGGAGGTTGGTATTCCTGTACTTTAAGTCTAGAAATTGAAGATAACACATTAGTTACCAAGATGCTTCATTTCACATCTTCCTTTTGTTCCCAAAGAGCCACAAGTTTTATTGTTTGCTCTGTAGCAAAGAAGAATATGTAAAGAAAAAAGACAGCCTCATAATCGTGTAAATAGAAAAAGCCAGCACTGAATAGCGATGTCATTTCTTCACATATGTGGAAATGGATCTAAATGACTCATTCAAGAATCTGCAGCCTGCACTGCACTAAGAAACATTCATTCCCCTTTTTTATACTTAACTGCTCAAAATGATATAATTTTTTTTTCAAAATAACTCAGCATATTACAAGCTACAATGAAACTAGCAGATTAAGTGTACAAGTAACAAGAAAAAAAGGCAAGATCATTCAGGGGAAAAAAAATCAGAACATGTAAGAAAAAATTTAAATGAAGCAGGGAAGCAGGATTGTTTAAAAAAAAAAAAAAAGGTACTGGAAAAAAATCCTGTAATGTACAATCTTTTCAAAAGATACATACTGCAGATTAGCCAGAATGTTTGGGTATAATGAACTGCCAGGTAATCTCTAGATCATACACACCCTATTTATGTATGTGTGTATGTACGCATGCATATGTATTTTAGTTCCCTTTCCCTACCCCGCCGCCCCCGCTTTCTAAAAAGATTTATTTATTATTTTTATTGGAAAGTCAGATTTACTAGTTCACTTCCCAAATGGCTTGGCCAGAGCTGAGCTAATTCAAAGCTAGGAGCCTTGAGCATCTTCTGGGTCTCCCACGCCGATGCAGGGTCCCAAGGCTTTGGGCTGTACTCTACTGCTTTCCCAGGCCACAAGCAGGGAGCTGGATGGGAAGTGGAGCAGCTGGTACAAGAACTAGCACTCAACTGCGATCCCGGCAGGTGCAAAGTAGGATTTAGGCCCTTTCCTTCCTTTTTAAAGAACAAGTAAGCCAAACTGACAACATGGAATGGAAAGCTAAATCATCCACTGTAATGGAAACTAATGAACCCCTTGCATCTTATGACACTCACAAGAAAAAGTACAAAAAGGAATGAAAAACAATACAAAAGTTGCAGATATAAAGATGAAGGATCCTAAACAATATCTGGGACATGGACTAATTGGATGAAATGAGTAATCCAGGATAACAGTTAATGTGGCAATACTGACAGATAAGCTAAGAAACTGTATGAGACTTCTAAACACATTCTGTGACTTTATGAACAACAGAATCCAATTACTTACAAAATACTGGAAATCAAGAATAGAATATGAACTTCACCAAAATTTGGTATTATTAAGCATGCTTGGCATGTAGAGGGTAGGTAGTCCTTTGCCAGCTATGCCACATATTCCTTCCAACATATGCATCTAGAATAATCACTTCCTGGTACCCTGGTTGCTCTCCACATTTAAGAAAATGCAGTCCAGGAACCTCCAACTCAGGCAGTTTCTACACTTTCTCTTTTTGGACAGAGGGTTTTACAAGAGGAGAACGTCTTGTCCTCCCTCCCTTGTCCACCTACTCTTCACGTATGGAACAACTGTCGCTGTGAAGTGGGCTTCCCCTCTACAGCCAAGATGAAAGCATGGCATTAGTCCTGAATTTGCTACACCAGGAAATAATGGTCCATTTACAGGAAATACAGGCAAAGAAATTTCTAAGGACAGAAAGTAATACCACGCTTGTTGCAGAGTGCAAATGATGGCAAGAGGCACAGCAGGCTTCTAAAGAAACGGAAACATTCTGCATACGCTCCTGATGTTTGTGACAATGGCTTATGCACTGGGAAAACTCATTTGTGCATTTTGTTGTATGCAATTATACTTCACAAATTAAAAACAACAAGGGCCAGTGTGGTTGGTTCATCAGGCTAATTCTCTGTGCTGTGGTACTGGCATAGCACATGGGTGCCAGTGCTTGTCCTGGCTATTCCACTTCCTGCTAATGGCCCAGGTAGGCAGCAGAGAATGATCCAAGTCCTTGGGACCCAACCACCACATGGGAGACCCAAGGGAAGCTTCTGGCTCCCAGCTCAAATTA